TATAGTTAGACTATTATTTGACTTTTATCCAGTACGTATAGTCTTTGTGATATCATTAGATGGGTCACTGTCACTGCGACAACCAGTTTAGAGACCAGTGCCTAACCCATTTCACATTCTCTTTTCAGTTTAATTTCATGAGGTTATGGAGCAACTTCGGGAAACTACTCTGACTACTGCTCACTCCATGAAGATCACTGTCACGGCAAGGGTGTATAATTTATTATTACACTATGGAATATCATCTTTTAATGTAATTTGTGTAGTAAATGGCACAAATTACAGAGATGCTATTGCTGAGGTCAACAGGGGTTACATCTTTTGAAGCTGGGACCCCCACAGAGGTCAGATGACAGAAGGGGTAGTGTGAATGGCATAGCAATGTGAAAAGGATTTTACTATATGGATGTGAAGTCTGCAAGGTGTGAGGTTCTACACTTGGAAAAGTCTGAATGTCTCTTCATCCATTTGGCATGTACCTTGTAAGTGATGAGTAAATCTCTTTGATATGTAAATGCCATTAGCTTTGTTCTAGTATCATATCCAAAGGAAGGACAAAAAACATTCATATTTACCCCCACAGAATAATAATAAAGCCTCATTTTTGTTATATTTGGAATGTGACAAGCGCCATCTTCTAACCAAGTCCAAACATGAGTGGCCTAACTTGACCCTAGGGAAAGGAATTGTGATGTCCGTCCTATTGGATCGTGGGTGGGACGTGCAACATGTCTATGGAATGGGAAAATAATAACAAATTTGTAGATGCAATTATTATTTCTGTGGCAGGTACAAAAAAGAAGATAGAGTCAAATGTTTCCATTTGGATTGACAGTGGTCTGGAACAAAGGAGGTGGTCAGTTATTATTTCTGTAGGTACGCCTTAACTCCACCCCTGGGCAAGACTTGATAAACCACAGGGTATATATCTAATGATCCTGAAGGGTGTTGGTGTACTTGCTTGGGGCCAAGATCTAATTTTGGGTGAGTCACCATCTTTCCTTGCCAGAGACCCCCTGGACAGAAGTTGTACTTTGAAAAACCTAAGTGAGTAATTAGGACTTCTGTATTTTATCCTTTTTGTTTTTATCTGTTGTTGGTGTAAATAATTTGTTTATCATATATTTTTATATGCACTGTGATTCATTTTTGCTCATAATAAACATTCATTTATTAAGTTCTGCCTTTGTCTGGTTAAGAATCACGTTACCTGAAGAGACTAGTTAGTATTTTTGTAATTCCTTGAATATTGTACTAAGTAATATTTAGTGGGTTTTATTGTTGATTTACCTGGGGGACCAAGGCACCCCATTTATAAATTGTCTTGGTGGTGGCAGCGTTAAAATAGTAATAGTTATATTATTATGTTTAAGTGTGGGTGGTGTTAAAGGGGGATTTTGTCATTATTTCCGGTCTAGTGCAGACAAATAGTGAACTTTAACCCTTTCACAACCACAACTACGTCACGCGCACTCTTGGAGTAGGGTGTGTTCGTGACAATCACCATACTGTCGGATGTTCACACGTTGGTGTTTATTACAGACTTGATATATTGAACTTTTCCCTGTTCACGATGTCGCTTCTGAAAGAGGGGGAGAAGCCTATTTTCTGGGAATATCTTACTCCATAGTGCATTTTTGATTGGTTAAATGTATTCACTTTCTTTACTGCTGTGGATTTTAGTAAAGAGAGTAATGCAAAATACTTGCCTCCTGTCATTACTAAAATTAAGATTATAGGTAAACTAACGCTAGCATAATCTTCAATTTGTTGTTTTTAACAATTCCCAAATCCTTCTCGTGTGTTACATGTAGTGCATCTTTGGTTACCACAACCAAATTAGATTTAAAAACCAACAAAAAAATCCTTCAGCCACTTACCTTTCTCCAGCGCCGGGCTCCTTCTGCGCTGGTGACCTCTCCTTCCCCTGCAGATGTCAGATCCGAATAAGCATGGGCAGCAAGAGCCCCGCGTGCGCATTCAAACCGCCCATAGGAAAGAATTACTCAATGCTTTCATGTGGATGTCCAGCGTCTTCTCACAGGGAAAATTGCGGAAGCGCCTCTAGCGGCTGTCAGGGAGACATAGAGCCTGGATTAACCCTCAGTGAAACATAGCAGTTTCTCTGAAACTGATGTGTTTTCAGCTGCAGGGTTAAAACTAGAGGGACCTGGCACCCAGACCACTTCATTGAGCTGAAGTGGTCTGGATGCCTATAGTGGTCCTTTAATATAGGAACATTTATTATGAACAAAAATAGTCAATGTGAATACAAATACAAAATATGTTACAGGAAGCATCGGAGCCCAGTAGGGACACAAAGTGTACTTCTGGCATTAGCAGCAGACTGTAGTGGTTATGATGCTTTGAGTAACCTATTAACGTTGCAATTCTGACACAAAATTCTTTGTAGTGTGACCGCAGAATTAAATAGTGTCAAATGTCATTACCTGTTCCTCCCTAGATGACCCCTTCTTTGTGTTTTTCTTTTTGAGATCTTCATACTTTTCTTTTTCTTTAATATATTCTTCAACAGCAATGTCAGCAGCTTTTTTCTCAACTGTGGGGAGACAAAAGAGCCCATTAAATATTCCGGTGTGAAAATGTAAAATATTAAGATCTGTCTACTGCTGGAGGAGTAATAAGTTTAAAACATAGATTAACTTGTAGATAGTTTTTTTTTCTTCTTTTTTTGCAGTACATAGTGCCAGGATGGCCCTGGCACCACCATATCATAAGTTTATCCATGGTTTAACCACACCAACACTACATCTGAAAGAAAGCTGGAAGCTCTCCTGAGCTAAGCCCTGCAGTGTATTGCTAGCTTACTGGTTGAGGGCATCAGCTGGTCACCCTCTGCCAATTAGCTAAACCCTGCTAATTTGGCTCAGCTCAGACAGAGAGCTTCTGGCTCTCTGTTGGATTTAGTAGAGGCAGGGAGTGGCAAAAATCCATTAGTATTCTGAAATAGTTCAACTGCTTACAATGCGGAGGTGTCAGGGCACTATTGGCACCATAACCACTACAATGAGCTGCAGCGGTAATGGTGATTGGTCAGTACATTTAAGTCACTTTTATTAGGAAAACAGAGAGAGGCAAGGATGACGTGAAAAAATACTGTATCTTTTTTTTCTTGTACATATCTATATTATTTAATTGATGGATCACAAATTAGCATTAGAGTCGTTGGCAATAAACAGTCCATATTAACCCCTTAAGGACTGGACTGTTTTTGCGATGTACATTTGAGACCTGGCCTCTTTTTACACTTTTGTGGTGTTTGTGTTTAGCTGTAATTTTCCGCTCTCTCATTTACTGTTCCTATACAAATTATATATTGTTTTTTTCAGGACAAAAAAGGTTTTTTTTACATACCATTATTCATATAATCTCATGTAATTTAATTTAAAAAAAAAAAAATATGATGCAAAATTGAAAAAAATACATGTTTTTTGACTTTTACTTGAAAAATCTTTTACTCATCTACAAAAGCGAATGAAGAAAACTGCTAAATAGATTCAAAAATTTGTCCTGAGTTTTAAAATACTTTTTTTTGTGTGCAAGGTTTAGGGCTATAGGTACAAGTAGGATTTTGCGGTTTCAAAACATACATTTTTTCAAATTTATCAATAGTGACATTGTAACACTATTATCGGTCATAAATCTCTGAATAACACCCCACACGTACATATTTTTTTTTAAAGTAGATAACCCAGGGTATTTAATATGGGGTATGTCCAGTCTTTTTTAGTAGCCACCTAGTCGCAAACACTGGCCAAAGTTAGTTAGTTTGTGTGTGAAAAAAGTAAAAAACTACATTGAACGCTATCGCAATTATTTCATTAGTAAAAGTGCTGTTTATGTGTGAAATATGTGAAAAAAGTCACTTTCACTGACAATATCATCGCTGTGATATGGTTTACTGTTTTGAATTACTAATATTTGTGTTCAGCAAAGTCTCCCGAGTAAAACGGTAGCCCCCATGTACAGGTTTTAGGGTGTCATACAGGGCCGGACTGGGGATACAAAGCAGCCCTGGAAAAAAAATGTATGCCAGCCCCATAAGTCATTGTGCCATGTAGAGTGTGTGAGAGAGAGAGAGTGTGTGTGTATATATATATATATTCTACGTTTATAAATTAGTAACTGGAGCAGGATAGTGGAGTGCAGGGAAATGTTGGTGTGTGAATGCAGATAAGAAGGGGTTGAATTTCCAGCCAGGTGTGGATACATATGCACATATAGGGAGCAGGTCAATGTGATTGAATGTAGGGACATGTGTGTGGAGAGTCAGTGTGTGAATGCAGGGACGTGTCTGGATGTTTGATGTGCTTATAGGTGCGTAGCTGTGTAGTAGGTCAAGGTGTTTTTTGTGAATGCAGGGGTGTTTGTGTATGGTTTGCACTGTCTGGGTGAATGAAGTGGTGAATTTGTATCCCTTATTGTCTGTAGTCCATTCCCATCTCCAATAGCTAGTAGCCCATTACTGCCCCATAGCTTGTAGTCCATTTTCTCCCCTATTTCTCATAGGTAGAAGCCCAGTCTCTGCTCTCTGTAGTTAGTTGCCCATCCCCCCGTAGTTAATAGCCTATGTTCCTCCTCTCCCCCATAGATAGTACCCAAACCCCCCCTATAGTAGAAACACTCACTTCCTCTCTCCCATAGATAGTACTACATTCTCCTCTTGGCCTTGATTTTTCTCCTCACCCCATTCTCCCCCCCATAGATAACACTCAAGTCCCATTCCCCCCTAGAGAGTACCCCAATCCCCCCCATAGATAGTACCTCAATTCCCCTCCTCAGAGATAGTACCCCAATCCCTCTCCCCATATACAGTTCCCAATCTCTCTCCCTATATATACACAGTACCGCAATCTCTCTTCCCATATACAGTACCCCAATATACAGTACCCCATATACAGTACCCCAATCTCTCTACCTATATATACAGTACCCCAATCTCTCTCCCTATATGTATAGTAACCCTCCTATCATAGTTGGTACCCCAATCTCTCTCCCTATATATACACTCAGTAACCCAATCTCTCTCCATATATATATATATATATATATATATATATATAGATATATATAGAGAGAGAGAGAGAGAGAGAGATTGGGGTACTGTGTGTATATATAGGGAGAGAGATTGTATATATATATATATATATATATATATATACACACACAGTACCCCAATCCCTCTCCCCATATATATTACCCCAATCCCTCTCCCCATATACAGTACCCCAATCTCTCTACCTATATATACAGTACCCCAATCTCTCTCCCTATATGTATAGTACCCTAAACCCTCTCCGCAACCCTCCTATTATAGTTGGTACCCCAATCCTCCTATAATAGATAGAACCCTAATCCCTCTCCCCATAGATGGTACCCCAATCTCCTCTAAACCCACTCCTTTAGAGAGGTACAGATTCTAATGATTTCCCCCACTCCAGCCCTGTCCCAGTCATTAATAATGAGGACCTTACCTGTACCTGATGTAGAGCTTCATGAACTCAGCGTGCTGCTTGTACTGCTTATCATAGCAGCTCCACGCGGCTTGTGCTGCCCTTTCACTCATGAAGTCACTTACCCCGGAACGAGCCGCACGGAGTGTAACAGGCAGCACGAGTGCAAGTCCGTGCGGCTGCTTTCCAACCCCCGACAGAGGCTCTGCTCATAGCACCTCTGTCGGCTTTATTATAGGCAAGACCAATTTTTCAATGTGTATCTGCGAGCTGTGTCGGCCGCTCTCGGTGCATTGTGCGGCCGCACTGCTCGCCTCACACAATCCCAAGGCTGGCCATGACTGCATGCCGGCCCCAGGTGCTGCGGCCCACCGGGAAATTTCCCGGTATCCCGGTGGGCCAGTCCGGCCCTGGTGTCATAGAAAGATCCAGGGTAAAATACAGTGCTAGCAAATTAAATTCTCTGGACTTTCGGCCTGGGTTAGCAGGCAGGTCCCTTAAATTGCAATTAATAAAATTACTTATTTATGTAAAAATATTACATAAATATGCACGTAGAATTTAAATATATATGCATATTTATATATTTGAAGTCTACGTGTATATTTATATAATTATTTATGTAATTTTGTATATGGACATATGTATATTTCTTATTATTTTTATTTATATATACATAGATATATACACAATTTCATTCTAAGTGTATTTTGATATAAATATATACATTTTGATATACAAAATTTCATATAGATATATAATTAATTTTTTTTATTATTTAAAAAAAAATTATTTAATTTACTTATTTGTATTTTATTATAATATGTATATATACACACAATATATAGTTATTATATATTATACATATACGTGTGTAATTTAATTATAAGTGTATTTTTATATGAATATATATATATACACACACACACACACACATACACACACACACACACACACACATATATTATTATTATCTTATTAACATTAACCTTTTTTAATTTTTAATTTTATTTTACACATGCAGGGAGACTGCCTGTCAGCACAGACAGTCCCCCTACAGGTAGACACATGGACACCTATTGTGACCATGTGATCGCTCTGTTAAGCGATCACATGGCCCCAGAGGTCCTAATCCGTTGAGGGGAGAATGTCTGGGCTGCAGGCAGCCTCCCCACACCGGGAGCACCGCCGATCGCCACGGGGGTGAACGACGGCGATCGGGTAAGTACATCTTACCGTTAGGATGGTTCAGGACCGTCAGCGGTCGGCAACGCAAAAATGCCGATGACGGTCCTGAACCGTCCTCAGTCCTTGAGGGGTTAAAGGACCACTATAGGCACCCAGACCACTTCAGCTTAATGAAGTGGTCTGGGTGCCAGGTCCCTCTAGGGTTAACCCTGCCTGACACGACTAAAATCTAATGGGTTTCGTTAAAGCTCTCTTTTGCCCTTGACTCGTTTGCCCTTTCCCCAGCCCCTTTGTGTCTCTTTGTGTCTCCCCCAGCCCCTCTAGATGTCTCTCTACCACACCCTGGTCTGTCTCTTTTGCTCCTTTCACAGCCCCTCTGTGCAGTGTTAATTTTGGCAACAAATTTCAATTTAGTATTAGTCAAAGCTTTTTTGACTAAAAAGTAATTTTAGTTTTACTTGTATTTTAGTCATCTGAATAGTTTTTGCCTTATTAGACTAAATCTCAAACATTTTAGTTGACTAAAATTGTTAGTCGACAAAATTAACATTGCTACGTTATAGTAGAATACATTTTAGAAGCTAATGGCTTCCCAGCAAAAAATAGACATTTGAGGCAAAGATAGCCAAACAGTGCTAAGGCATCTGATGGTGACTTTTAAAGACATCAGTTTTTGTTGGAAAATCTGAAAAAAATGCACAAGTGCACTTAGTACAGTATCATGCAACAAACAATCTTATTCTTTCACATGATGCTTGATTTTCTAGTCTTTCATGAAGAAAACGAGGATAGCACAGCAGTAAGTGTACAGCTGTAAATTTGTCAGAGAAAGCACTGGTTCAACAGGTCAAATATACAAAGAATAATGCAATGAAGATGAAGATTTATGATCAAGTCACCTTTCTTGATAACCTTGTTTGACTTGTCATACACGCACGGCAGATTTACAGCCTCGGGAAGGAATCGCTACAGCAAGATAGTAGTGTTATAATCCACGGTGCATGCTACTTTTAAAGTCAGCCATGTTAATTTATTAGGCCAGATGGGTAGACACTTAAGTATGAAATGTACACTGAGGTAAATTAAAACAGACATGAGTTTCAGACTCAAAATTTTCCAAAATTGAACTAAATGAAAAGGTGAACAGCCCAAATCCAACTACATAGACTGTTGCATTACTGTATTACCATAATAGTGTCACAAAGCAAGAATTCAATGTTTGCTCTTTAATGATGCTCCCTGATGCCGTTTATGAATTAACAGATGACAGTAAATGACTAAGACAATGTGCAGATTTTTTAAAATTAATATTTTGTCATGTAAAGTTTATCAAAACAGCTATGCCATGATATACTGGTAATTAATTCAGGAAAAGCAGATACTGTGATATTTTAGTTTAAAACGGACATTCTGATATGACCGTAAAAATTCACTAAGACCACAGGGGCAAAGATGGTACTGTGTTGCTTGTACAAATGTGTTATATAAAGAACGAACATCATGCAACAACACAATTAAAAATGTTAATGTACCAAGAATAACTCCCTTAACTTTTGGCATCAGGGGGTTAGTAGCTTGCAACAAATCTTTGAGCACAGCTATATGCCTTTACATTGGACATGTTCAATAAAGACTTAAAGGGACACTATAGGCATTGAAATGGTCTGGCTGAAATTTCCCTTTCTTCCTTAGTCCTGTAATGTTTACATTACAGTACTAAGACAGCCTCCAATGGCTGTCTGCCAGACAGTCACTAGAGGCACTTCTGAGAGTTTACCATACTCTGAGTCCCCTAAATGACGCTGGACATCCTCACGCTCTGTATGAGGACATCCAGCATCAGTGAAATTACCATAGGAAAGTGCTGAGGCAATGCTTTCTTATAGGGAGGACCTAATGCATTGTTGGCGCTCGCTGCGCATGTGTATTAGGTCCCCCTCCATCAGATGATGTCGGAAGTGGTGGAGCGGAGGGACCTTGGCGCTTGAATCAGGTGAGTAAATAAAGGGGTTTTTTTTTAACCCTTTATGTTCCACCTGGGGAAAGGGAGGACGACCACTGGGCACACTATAGTGTTCGGAAGTAAACTTTGTATCCCCACAAATAGTCACAAGCCTATATGCATAATCAGCTGAGTCATATGTAATGCATTATATCTGTAATGCAATTGGGCTCTTTAGTTTTTGATATAAGGCCCACAGGCTAAGCAGCTAAGATTATTGTATTTTTTGTGATAGAATCTGCACATGTTTAATGATCATGAGTTTTCCTTAGCAGTCACATATTTCAGTTCACTCAATTAGGAGGACTATGTTGAGGTTTTCTGGTCAAGCTGCATTTTTTACACATTATATTTTTACAGTTACAACACTTGATAAAAACATGCAAACAATCTTCATTCATTTTCTCCCTATTATGAAGGGTGTCATTGTAAAGTCTGTACTGTGTCATAACTTAGAACAAGCTGATCAAAATGTAAATTCATTCCAAGTTACTGAATGTTTGCTGGCAATAGCAATACAAATTAGCAAGTTACTTGTTTTGGCCAACTACAATGTACAATGTGTCCCTGTCTCAGATAAGAACTAAAATAGTACTTCTTCACACCCTACCCCCAAACCCTTACCACTTATCACAATTAAGTTCACAAAGAATTGTATTGCTGCCATAAAATTGCTTTAAGTCCCAACCTCATCTTTTATACTCTTTTTTTATTGGATTTACTCAAACAATAATGGAATTGAAATTCACACTACATATATAGTGAATACAACATGCAAAATGTTACTCTTATGGAATAAAGATGAAGAGCTTAAAGCATCCCTGTCACCGCCTGGGGACTTTGCATAATTTGCAAAGACCCCTGTCGATGACATCACTGCTTGGGGTGCAGACAAAGGCAAGTTTAACTTACCTGAACCTGTAACTTGCAGGCGCCACCATCCTCTTCCTGCCAGTCCTCTGGCTTCTGCCCCTGGTGCTTCAGGAGCATGGGCAAGAGTACAACATTGAAGCCTGTGGAGGATCCTGTGAGACCCACGGGATCCTCCTTAGATAAAGTCAATTTCCTGCAGCATTACTGGTGATGGCTGGAAGATTGACACTTCTTGATGGCAGTAGCTCAGGCCAGTGTCAAGAAGTGTCAAGAGTAGGAAAAATACATTTATAGTATATTTTTTTGACTGGGCTGGAAATTCATTTAATTTTTTTTTTTTTTACAAATGTAGATATTTATAAAAATGTAATGAATATGTAGGACTAGGGGGAAAAAATGACGTGGTTCCCAACTATTGCAGTGTTTGCCAACAGCACAAGGATGTAAGGGACACTGTTGACCTACAATGTAAAACCTAGTTATTCCCATACAAAATAAAAGTCATAAAATTAAAGCAATTACATTGCAGGACATAGAAGCTATTTAAGTTCAGCCGATATACTGTGCTGTCAAATCTAACATGTATACCATTAAACAATCAGCATTGTGGAAAACT